ATGCATATGTAATTGGATTCATCTACAGCACATGATATCCATCGATGCATTCACAAACGTTCATTTTTTATCAGTCTATACTTCTTTTCAAATTTGTGTCTTCCGCGAAGATCTATCTCTCCCGACCTTCCAATTCATCTGAAGTTATCGTCCTGCGTGGAAATTAATGGCCGATTCATTCACATACAGAAATGTTAACTAATACAGGGATACGACAGACACGCAAAATATATTAGGGAGGAAAGGTCAATATACCTTCCCGCTCAGAGAGAAATATCCGCGGGAGAATCGTGGTGGAAATGCGATTAGCTTTTGTTATTTTTGTTTTGTTTTTGTTTTGTTTTTGTTTTTTGTCTGTTGTTTGTTTGTTTGATTGTTTTTTTTATGTTTGGGTTTTGTTTTTCTCTTTGTTGTTTGTTTTCATGTTTGTATTTTTCTTCTTGTTTTAGTTTTGCGTTTGTTCTTGATCGTAGTTTTCTTCTTAGTGTTATTCTTCTTCACGTTTCTTCTTCTTCTTCTTCTTCTTCTTCTTTTTGATATTCGTATTCTTATCCTCGTCTTAGTTTTTATTTCATAGCTTTAGGCCCGGCTTTTCATTTCCTTTCGTTCATTCATTCTATATTCTATTTTTATCTTTCGCTATTGCCTTTTTCCAAGCGGCCGAACGAGCGAGCCAACGACAGTGATCAAAACAGCCGCTGAAGCCCTAAATTTCGGCTTGTATTTCAGGAAGCGAGTCAGGCGCTGCGCTGATGAATCCTGATGAATTACACGGAAATGGCTTAATATGTTGCAGCTGCGACTCGACCCCACCGCCTGACGTATCCAGCTGATTTGATGTGTCCGGCTGATTCCATGTATCTGGTTTGTTTCGCGTGTCTATATGTGTTTTCGTGTGTCCTATGTTTGTACTTAATTTAGTTGTCTTATTGGTTTCATGTGTCCACATATGTTTTCATGTGTTCCATGTTTGTATCTGGTTTCATGCGTCTAGTTGGTTTCAAGTGTCCACCTAATTTCATGTGTCCATGTGTCCAGTATTTTTATGTGTCCACCTGATCTTGTTTGTCTAACTGATTTCATGTGTCAAGTTATGTGTCTATATGGCTTCATTTGTCCACCTAATTTCGTTTGTGTAACTGATTTCATGAGTCCAATTCTAATGTGTCCACCTGATTCGTTTATCTAACTGATATCATGTGTCCAGGTCTAATGTGTGCATTTGATTTCGTTTGTGTTAGTGATTTAATTATCATTATGTGTCCTCTTTTTTTATGTCATCTTAATTTAATGTCTGTGGTTGGTCTTCCTGTCCACCTCACTTCATGTACACACCAGATTTCGTATATGCAATTGTTTTCGTAATTCTACGTGACCGTGTCTACCTGTCTTAATATTGGCTCCATGTTTCCACGAGATAATATGTGACCAATTAATTCCACTTGTCCACCAGATTATATGTGTCCAATGGATTCCATGTATCCACCTAATTTCGGGATGGAACCCGTGATCCACTAGATTCCCTGTATCCAACTGATTCCACGTGTCCACCCGACTCTCATATGTCAAATTGGTCCCGTGTGTCCACCTGATTTCCATATATCCAACTGGTTCCACGTGTCCTCCTGGTTCCATGAGCAGGGGCTGGCCGGATGAAAACATCCATTACGATTTAAATAAAACTCCCGAGCGATTTCATTTGCCTAAAGGACTTCCGGTATTACGATTGGAGGGCTGAGAATAACACCTCGCATAAAGGACCTGAAATAATTTTCCAATACGAATTCTTCCGAAAGTAAATATACCTTATATAAAAAATAACCAAAATAAAAAATATAGTGGCATAGATCCCAAAACACAATAGTCCGAAAGAATAAAAGAGAGAGGAAAAAACAGAGAATAATAAAAGACATATATACGTATTCAAATACAGTGCGTCAAACAAAAGACTCTCGCCCGAACAACGCCACATACATCACGTGGCCCTGAAAGAAAATTACAGTAATCCATCTGCCACGGAGGGTAATCACGCACACACACGCGCGCGCCGTCGTGGCTTGAAGCGCGGCCACGAGTCTCCCCGCAGCCGCTGTAATGAAAGAGCTGCCCGCCTTCATATCCCGGTCTGCTGAGAGTCCATGTCGAACGCTAATGCCGCATCCTGTGCAGGTGTGATGACGGGCGAGGTGCGGTGGTGATGACGTCGCGGTGAGGAGCGGCAGGATCAGCGGCGCGTTTGGGTTCCGATGGCCGCGTTCGAACACGTGTAAATCCCGTGGTCTTCCGACAGACTAATTGCGGTTGCACCAGTTTCTGTGTCTCTTCAGGGGGAGAGTTTGGGTGAATTTCAAAGGATGGAATTCTGTGAACTGTTGTTCGTATTTGCAAGGGTAACTGTTCTTGTCTTTGTTTTGTTTCATTCACTCTTTCATTTGTTTATCTGTATGCATTTCGAATAAAACTGAATCATACAGATTATGGATAAAATCAAATGCTTAAGAATCAAACGTTTTATAAATGTCTATGTTTATCGTTCCCTTAGAGTAATGGTCACTATATTTTGTGTGCGTTATTTGCATTGTGTAAAGAAAATAAACTTCTACTTCCAGCATATTATAAATCCTAAAGCTATACATCAGCTGAAACCGTGTGCTAGAAATTAGAGAGAACCAATGATATACATGCGCATGCACGTGCAAACACTGCAGTGACTGAGCGCAGAACAGACATATCAGATAAACAAACTAAAAAAAAAACATTAAAAAAACGCGCTGGAATTTACGTAAGCGCACAGAATCTCATCGCAAATACGCTACAAAACAACAAAGAAACGCGAACCTTTAATAAAGACAAAAGAAGAGCAGCGAATGGGGCACGTGTTCATTAGATTAGCAGTCCGAAAAGAACACTCTACGCTTTTGCAAGGATTGGAACATGATGAGAAAGCAACAGAACCCGAAAGTGGCGATTTACTTATAACCAGCTGGGCGGAGGCGATTATCAAAAACCTATCTAATAAGATGGGATTGTACACACACAGCGGGACCTGAAAACAAACCCATTGCATTGGCGGACCTGAATATCTGTTTTTTTCCCACAAAGCATGTACTGTAGGACCGAAATATGTACGGGCATATCTCGGCACGTGTACGTAAGCAGGTCTTTATATGAACGCTATATAAAAACAATTACATAAGCAAGCCATTATATCTATCTACATATTTGAATGATAAAGTAAACGTAATAATGAATGGGGAGAACTTATTGTACCAATTACGTCATACTAGTATTTAGCTAGAACAGACTATTATAAATAGACACATTCATTCACATAAATACACAAGCTTCAACACCTGATACGGCAGCATACAATGGATTTTTATTTAATCTATTTTTTTTCCTTTTATTATTACCACCCTCCCCCCCCCTCCTCCCTTAGTGATGCATTACCTTGTTGCTCGAGTAATTTCACTGCAATGGCAAATTCTACAAAAGAACGTGATAGAAGTACTTTTGAAATGTAAGCTTTTGCGATATACTGATATGATAAATTGCATTTGAAAGCATTTTTAACCCATTCCTTTCCTTTTTATGAGATTTTCTCACGCATATACAGCAGTAGTTTATATTGCATTGTTTATTCTTGCAGTGTCAAGAAAGCATAATTTGAAGTCTATACGCCCTTTCTTCAATTACTATGCAGTATATCCTCTTCAAATTTAAGCCCTTTTAAATCAAATTGTTGGGTCGTTGGCGCAATGTTCCACATACAGAGTTTAATTCATGCAAAACGTTTGAGCAAAGAATAGTAATTCAATTCCCACAGTACTTTTCATCACACGAATTCCTAATTTCCCAGCTAACTTCATCGACTTCACAAAAATGCACTTTGGCAGAGTTGATCGAACACAGCCGTAGCTCTGTCACTGAGTGATGGCTCTGCATTTGCAAGGTCTGGCTCCTCCCTGTCGGCCCAGCAGTGAATAAGTACCGGCATCAGCTGGGGTGAAAGTCGCGAAACAAAGGACCTGGCCATTCTGTCACAACAGTTAGCGGCTTAATAAGCATACGCCCGTATTAACACGCAGCTTCACGCCCATTTATATAAAGGGCCATCTATGAGATTCTGAGATCGAACGCAACGCTCTAGGCAACCGTAGTATACATTATTCACATAATAGAGAACACGTATGGAATCGAAACCGAGATATTTTAATGATCTGGGTATGAATTATCTACCTATACTGTCTACAAGAGCGGCTTTTCGAATAAAAGTTTCCGGGGAGAGGCCAAGGAGGGAGGAAGACGAGCGTGAAGAAGAATTAGTTAGAGGGAATATTAAGTGCGCAGCGATGATCCTTTTCCCTCTCGGTGCAGACTCTCCCTCCGTCTTAATCTCGGAATTCCACTTGATTCTAGTTTAATTACAGACTTTTAATCGCCTGTGTTTCTTCTCGCCTTATCTCACCTTCGCCCGTTTTATCTCTCGTCTTAATTATTCCTTGATTATGCCCCTACTCCTCATTTCTTGATCTTTCTCTTCTCATTCTATAATATCCTCTTGATTTTCGTTTGATAATAGACTTTTGATCTTTTATTCACTTCACTCATCTCACCATTACGAAGATTTCTTTCGTTTAATGGCTTCACTTGATTATTCTTTGATCATGTCTAATCTCCCTTTTATTTATCTTTCTCTCCCTAATATTCTGTGTGTGTGTGTGTCTGCGTATCTGTGACTGTGTCTGTGTCTGTGTCTACATCTATGTCTGTCTGTGTATACGTTTGTATAAGTATATGTGTATTTATCTGTCTGCATCTCTATCTGTGTCTACGTCTGCGTCTGTATCTGTCTCCGCTTGTGTCTATGCTGCGTGTGTGTTCGTGTTCCAGGTCACCCCTGTTCAATTATTTACAACGTTCTCCTCTGCTCTCCCATTCTCGGGTCTCTCTCTCCGGTCTCTTCCTCGTCCCTAAAATTTCCTCCTCTATGCCTCCTCTCACACCAAGATAATCAGCATATAGAGGCTTCCATCCTCCTTGCTCTCTGACGGCCCATCGACAGCGCACACGGGGGAGGGCTGACTGCTGACCCCTGAGGAAGGGCTGACTGATGACCCCTGAGGACGGCCTGACTGCTGACCCCCGAGGAAGGACTGACTGCTGACCCCTGCTGACTGCTGACCTCTGAGGAAGGGCTGACTGCTGACCCCTAAGGACGGGCTGACTGCTGACCCCCGAGGAAGGGCTGACTGCTGACCCCTGAGGATGGCCTGACTGCTGACCCCCGAGGAAGGACTGCTGCCTAAGGACTGACTGCTGACCTGAGGAAGGGCTGGCTGATGACCCCTGACTGGACCCTGCTGACTGATGACCCCTGAACTGCTGACCCTGGGCTGACTGCTGACCCCTGAGGAAGGACTGACTGCTGACCCCCGAGGAAGGGCTGACTGCTGACCCCTGAGGAAGGGCTGACTGATGACCCCTGAGGAAGGGCTGACTGATGACCCCTGAGGAAGGCTGACTGATGACCCTGAGGAAGGGCTGACTGCTGACCCTGCTAGGAAGGGCTGACTGCTGACCCCTGAGGAAGGGCTGACTGCTGACCCTGAGGAAGGCTGAATGCTGACCCTGAGGAAGGGCCTGACCCCTGAGGAAGGGCTGACTGCTGACCCCCGAGGAAGGCTGAATGCTGACCCCTGAGGAGGGCTGACTGCTGACCCTGAGGAAGGGCTGACTGATGACCCCTGAGGAATGACTGACTGCCTGAGGAGGGCTGACTGCTGCCCTGAGGAAGGCTGGGACCTGGCTGACTGCTGACCCTGAGGAGGGCTGACTGCTGACCCTGAGGAAGGGCTGACTGATGCCCCTGAGGAAGGGCTGACTGATGACCCTGAGGAAGGGCTGACTGCTGACCCCTGAGGAAGGGGCTGAGAGGAAGGGCTGACTGGACCCCTGAGGAAGGGCTGACTGCTGACCCTGAGGAAGGGCTGACTGCTGACCCCTGAGGAAGGGCTGACTGCTGACCCCTGAGGAAGGGCTGACCCCTGAGGAAGGCTGACTGCTGACCCCTGAGGAAGGGCTGACTGATGACCCCGAGAAGACTGCTGACCCTGAGGAAGGGCTGACTGCTGACCTGAGGAAGGGCTGACTGCTGACCCCTGAAGGAAGGGCTGACCCCTGAGGAAGGGCTACTGCTGACCCCGAGGAAGGGCTGACTGGCCTGAGGAATGACTGATGACCCCTGAGGAAGGGCTGACTGCTGACCCCTGAGGAAGGGCTGACTGCTGACCCCTGAGGAAGGGCTGAATGCTGCTAGGGCTGACTGCTGACCCCTCTGACTGCTGATGCTGACCCCTGATCAAAATGTATTCTTATACCAGTCCCTTCCAGTAGACCAAGATCATTAAACTCACTTGTACATTTTCGTCATTGGCCAAAGTTGCTCTCAAAGTTGTTCATCGTCTTCTTGGGCTTTTACTGTGCTTCATCTTTGTGTTATATTCTTTTTTTTCCTGAGAGAGAGAAAAAAAGAGAGAGAGAGAGAGAAAGAGAGATAGAGAGAGACAGACAGAGAGAAATAGGGATTAGACAGGCAAAGAGAGACAGCTAGAGAATGGCAGAAATAGACACACACATATTGTGTGTGGTGTCTATATATGTATATATATATATATATATATATATATATATATATATATTATATATATATATATATATATATATATATATATATATATATAACATGTATATATATATATATATATATATATATATATATATATATATATATATAATATATATATATATATATATATATACATACATACATATATATATATATATATATATATATATATATATATATATATATATATATATATACTTATATATAGTGTATAAATGTGAAAAGTTCGAACTAAAGAGGATCCTCTTGATGGGCGTGCACGAAGAGGAACTCGTGCAGCGCCTCGTCTCCCTCAACAGTCAGGCCTCCTTAGATGACTTTGTCACCTGCTGCAGAACGTTTGAGTCCTCCAGGGCCGCTGCTTCTGCTATCATTGCTGCTCCCAGCCAGCTGGAACAGCAAGCTCCAGCTGCCCACAAGCTTCTACCTGTTCCGCCTGTTGTCACTACGTCTTTACATCCATATGCTCCCATTGCTGCACCATACATCGGTAAAGATCCGATACCCAGCCCTCCTCAGCTACAGTCCGATGTCACCCATCAACTGTCCCTACGACGCCGGGAACTCCTTTCCTGCAAGCAGGCGCCTGGTGAACCCCTCTCTGCCTTCTACGTCCACATGAAGGACTTAGCTGACGTAGCCGACTTCTGCATGGGGGACCGCACCACTTGTGCAGCAGCTACACTAAAGATGATCCTCTTGATGGGCGTGCACGAAGTGAAACTCGTGCAGCGCCTCGTTTCCTATCTTTGCTGCTCCCAGCCAGCTGAATGTCCTCTCTTCCTTTGACAAGAGGAACCGCCAGAAGATGA